AGTTTTATTTTTTTAATTCATTTTTAATCTTTGGAACACTTTTTTAGACCTTCTAGTGTGTGCATTGGGGTTGGTCTAAAGACATAGGAAAAATATGAAACTTGTTCGTTTCACGATATTAGAAACCATATGACTTTAGTGTATATATCACGATATTAGGAACCATAGGACTTTAGTGAATATCATATATTATATATATATATATATATATAACTAACTTGCAATAAAATTATTTCGGGCCGGGGCAATTTCGGATCCTTTATCATCTTAACGTTTCTTTAAAATCGTTAGCCAGATGGTTACGTATTTTTATCTAACCATATATTGTTATATGTTTAGTTTAGTGTTAATCAACATGTACACAATTAAAAATATGCTATCTTCTCTTTAATTGTACCAACAAGAATTCATTACTGGGTAATCAATTCATAGCTGAAAGTTCACCTGCTCAAGAATTGGTAATGTTTATAGAGATGTTATTTAGAGGTCACCTGTTCAAGAATCCCTAGTTCCCTATTGTATTAATCTTTTAGAAAACTAAAGAATCTAATCAAAGATTGTTAGATAGACTTATTAAATGCGACAATTCCTTTCCCATATCCTAACTATAAACAATTTCTTATGGTCCATATATAAATGCTATAATAATAGTACCACCCTATTTTTATAGAAAAATAGACACTGTATATTGATAAAAAAAAAGAAAATTAATTAATTAATAGTCTCGGACTCTCTGTCAATAAACTCAATACAATGAAGGTACGAGGGACCAATAATGCAAACACAAAAATGTTGTCACAAGGCAGCTTCTTTTGGTTGAAATGAGAGAAAAAAATTGAAAACCTTCATAAAGAGAGAAATGTAACTTAACACATTATGTACTTATATGGATATGTATTTGGTAATTGAATTGAAAACCTTCGTTATATTTATTACATCTCATCCGAGAGCTGCGCACCTCTGACACCTTAATTTAATTCAACTACGTATACTTTTGTTAAGTCTTTTTTTTACCTCCAACTGTTGTACCGTGGTCAAAGTGGCCTTGCAACCACATCATTTTTTTTTAATTAAAGAACGGTCATCTTGAAAATAAACCTATCAACTATAAAGTTAATGTAAGAAACCCTCAAATATAGGTACAAAATTATTTTGTGTCTACAGAATCGTTAAAACCAATTAATAGTCAATTATAAAACAAAGCTATATAGCTAAACAGATATGTGCTTTAGGTTGTAAAAAATAACAAGTATTTTTCGAAATTATAAAGGGGTTTTAATGCAAAAATCATTTAGATAAAGATAAATTGAGAATAAACCCTTGTTGTAAAAGAACTCTTTTTTTGCCTAAATAATTTTTAGGTTTTCTTTTCAATGGCTTTGCATCAGTTCACCATGAGTGTTATGAATCTTAATTTATTTTATGTCATGAATGATCTAATTTTTTTTCAATATTTTTATTTAGTTTTTTTACGAGTTTGAAAATATGAAATTATAACAGAAGTTGTAGTCTAATTATATATTGTATATACGAAATAATTAAGTTTATTGTTTGCCAACAATAATACCAGATGAACTAGAGTAATAAGAAGAAAATATCATGGTTTATTGTTTATCAATATATAGTCCTTTAAAATAGTGTTTGTGATCTAATATTCTAAACATATCATTGATTAATTAATACATGAGAATCTTTATAAATATACTTGATAAATTTATATATCAATAAATTAAAAAATATTTTAGTATATAAAGTTAATTTATCAACCAAACAATATGTCAATAAATTGATATTTTTATAAATTAATAAAATTTCATAGATTCTATAATCACAACATTATCGATCTATAAAGGTTTTATTTTATTTTGTTGCATTTTATTGCTGTTGTGCTATAATGTAAGATAAACTCTAAACCTACTTAAAACCAATCATCATGAGTATTTAGTGGATGTTACAACCCTCGACATAGTATTTAAACATAAACCTCTTTTCTGTCCTCCGGAGAGCCAAATGACTGTATTTATATGATTTCAGGTACCACACGGTTAGCTCATCAGATTACATTGAGGCTATTAATTTTTCATCCACGACGACGAACACACATCCCTCTGTGTGTCCCAAACAAATTGTTGCATCGACATTCTCAATTTAAAATTATTTTTTTAAGAGTGAAATATTTTTTTCTATTACTAAATTATGAAATTACGTATACAAAAATCATAATAAATAAATAAATATATATATATATATATATATATATATTTGATAAAACTCTTTTATCAGTATATTTAATACTTTGTTTCTCAGCAAACTTAAGATTATCTGATTAATTTCATTCTGCCATATATGTGACACATGTTATTTTACCGATTTAATGTCATTCTTCGTATTAGTAAAAGTTTTGCATTGAGAAGTAACTAAAAATTAATTGTTTTTCAAAATATTAGTTTAGATAAATTTATTCAAATATTCAAAATTATAGTTTTCCAGAGTGATAATAGACCATATTTTGATGTATAAGTTTTTATCACTGGTACGTAATAATGCTCCTTAAAATAGGGTTCGTAATATAATATTCGAAACATATCAAGGAAACAAGTCATATTTTGTTTTTGGAATGAAGGTTGCTGCTGACTATAATGTAAGCTAAAGGAGAAGGAGGGACACGAAACTTAAAACTCTAAGGAATTTTGCGAAGATTAAAAATCATTACAAAATGAAAGAGTACATAAATTATTAGTTTGATTGAATTAATAAAAATTCAAAAAAGTTCTTCGTATAAATAAAAATTTTGCATTGATAAGTTAAAAAAAATTATTGTTTTTCAAAGTAATAATATATCAAATTCGTAATAATGTTTCTTAAAATAGAGTTTGCAGTATAATATTCGAAAGTCCTATTTTGCTTATGAAATAAATTAAGGTTGCTGCTGACTATAATGTAAGCTAAAGGAGAAGGGATACGAAACTTAAAACTCTAAGGAATTTCGCAAAGATTAAAAATGATTACAAAATAAATAGTACATACTTGTCAATATATATGAATTTAGGTTCTTGGATCGGTTGGTGTACGGAGACTATTCAGAGATAATGAAAGAGATGGTTGGAGATAGACTGCCAAGATTCACACCTGCACAATCGGATTTAGTTAGAGGATCACTTAATTTCCTAGGGTTGAACTATTACGTTACACAATATGCGACCGACGCACCTCTTCTGAAACTGCCTAGTGCAATAACCGATCCAGGAGTTACTCTTGGATGTATGCATGCAAAATTTGTTTGTCGAATTATTTTTATATAGTTTAGATGTATATTAGTTTTTCACTTGGATTGTGATGCATAATAGGTTAGCAACGGGAGATCGTATGTTGATGCAACTTGTGTCTTATGCCAACACTCACAAGAGACAAAGCAACACCTTCTTTTCATGTCAATACTCGGCGCAAGTATGAGAGAATCTTTGGCCAGACGGATCCTTAATGCTGATTTTTCCACCGGATGGGATGATGTTGATAGGATTGTAAATCTCCCGATGGGTCGTATCCATTAATTCTTTGGCCCTAAGATATGTGTTCCAAGCAATAGTTTATGGTCTTGGCGAGAGAGAAACAGAAGAAGACATGGAGAAGCTAGTAAACCACTTGTGCAGCTTGTAAAAATCATCGACAAGATTGTTCGGAATTGACTAAGCTCAATACGGCCACTAGGGGACCGGGAAGCCTCACACACTGTTTTCCACAAGAGTATAGCTTGTTCGTGTTCTAAATTTTTCAAAACAAACTCTCAAATTATGTAATACTTGATATACAAAAGGCTTTTTGATTGAACAAATTTGACATTCATTTAATAAAAAAATGTAAATAAAAAGAATAAACCTATTTCAAATAGAAGTATGGAAGAAAAAAACTAATTATTTGAAATTATGTGCTTAATTATTATTTTTTGGAAATGAAACTATAGAAAACTGTAAATGAATAAGTGTTATGTTTTTCTTTCGAAAGTTTTGCATTGGCATTATCAGTCTTAATTTATTTTATATCAAGTTTGAAATAATTTGTTTTCCTATTATATTATGTTGTTCTTTTTAACAAATTATAAAATATTAAATTATACAAGTGATAATAAAAATAAAAACAAAAAAAAAACCTTTTGTTTGTATGTTAAATGCTTTGCTTCTCATTAAACCTAAAATGTATCAGATTAATATATGACATAAGTTGTTTTATTAGTAATTCTTCGTGTAAATTGAAATTTTTGCATTGATAAGTTAAAAAAAAAATTATTGTTTTTCAAAGTAATAATATATCAAATTCGTAACAGTGTTCCTTAAAATAGGGTTTGCAGTATAATATTCGAAAGTCATATTTTGCTTATGAAAGTAAGGTTGCTGCTGACCATAATGTAAAATATCAAAAATTCATGTAGAGTTATAAGAAGAAAAACTCATGTTTACTTAAAATAGGGTTTGTAATTTAATATTCAAAACATCATATTTTGCTTATGGGAGGAAGGTTGCTGCTGACTATAATGTAAGCTAAAGGAGAAGGGAAACGAAACTTAAATCTCCAAGGAGTTTGGCAAAGATTAAAAATGATTACAAAATGAATAGTACATAAATTTTAAGTTTGATTGAAATAATAAATGGCATATAAATTATAACCAAGGAACATATATTCTCACGCAGGCATGTACAGGTATATATCGTGTGAAGCTATATACGAATTCTACGTAAATATGCGTGAGAATTATGATGACGTACATAAAACTCGAAGTGTCGAACAATTATTCTATTAGGGATAGCTCAGTATTTGATTAAACGTAATTTTTAAATAAGAAAACAAGACAGCGAGGTGGAGAACATGGAGAGGATCAAATAAGTTGAATCAAAATATACGCAAGGAAATGAGTTTACTTCAATCTCCATGCAAGCCCCATGCATGCACGCGCAACCCTTCTATATAAAGCCCTCCAAGTTCATCATATAATCATCATCAAATTAAGCTTACACAAGCCATAAAGGAAAGCAAAAACTAAACCATATAGATCTCTCATCCATGGCAATTCCAAAAGCTCTCTACTCTTTAGCCATCCTTGTAATTCTCTTTGCCGTTTCGAGTAGCCAACAGGTCTGCAATCCAGAATGCAAGGCTAAAGAACCTTTCCACTGCAACGATACTCTTACATTCAACCGAAATGGATTCCCAAAGAACTTCATTTTTGGTGCGGCTACTTCTGCATACCAGGTATAGATAACATATATCATAGTGACTTTTGGACATCGATTTCTCTCTGTAATATTTGTCATTAATAAAGAACTCATTCTAAAATTGTCCAATATATGATCGATTTTATTTGTTCTACCAGATTGAAGGTGCAGCACATAGAGCACTTAATGGATGGGACTATTACACACATAGATATCCAGGTCATTTACGTACTGCATGCGTTATTAACACGCACCTCGATCGCATGTATGAATATTAGAATTAAGTACGAGTCATGCTCATATCTTGCTTTGTTTCATACAGAAAAAGTTCCAGATAACAGTTCAGGAGACCTTGCTTGTGATTCGTATAATCTTTATAAGGTGAGAGAAGAAGAGGTTATCAATTAGTGATGATCAACGCATATATATTACATTTTTGAAACCTAATTTAACTTTACAACTTTCATATAACCTCAACAGGAGGACGTCGCGCTACTAAAAAGAATGAAGGTTCAAGCATACCGATTCTCAATAGCATGGTCAAGGGTCTTACCAAGTAAATACAAAAACACATCTCCTTTTGTTCATCAAAAGAATTCGTAAAATATTATACTATGGCTGAACTTTGTAATTACATATACTAATATTAGAGGGAACTGGAAAAGTGGACGAGAATGGTATAGCATACTACAACAATCTCATCAACGAGTTAAAAGCAAATGGTAAATTCCAAATTTAATAATCCGATTTTCATCATTTTGTTATATTTGTGATACAGAGATTTACACTTACTTTACTTGGGATCCACAGGCATAGAACCATATGTGACTATATTTCATTGGGATGTTCCCCAAACTTTGGAAGACGAATACAAAGGGTTCTTAAGCCCACGTATAGTGTAAGTCCCTTAACTAATTTTTATTTATTTATTCTAAATTAACTCGGTTTAATTCTTTGGATTTTGGTTATATGTATATTGCATAATCAAACCTATACATGTTTAATATGTATGAACAGGGACGATTTCAGAAACTACGCGGAGCTTCTATTCCAAAGATTCGGTGACAGAGTCAAATTTTGGATCACTTTGAACCAACCTTTCTCTCTTTCAACCAAAGGTTATGGGGATGGATCGTATCCACCGGGACGGTGCACCGGCTGTGAATTTGGAGGAAATTCCGGAACCGAACCTTATAAAGTTGCACATCATCAACTTCTAGCTCATGCAGAAACTGTAGCTTTATACCGAGCAAAATATCAGGTAAACCAATCATAAATTAGTTTCTTTCGAAATCAATTTTTTTTATATACTTTTGTGTTGTATGTTTATAATCCTTTGCAGAAAATATTTTACATTTATACCCACACGAAAAACAAAAAACAAATAAACTAAAACGTTTTGCAGAAATTTCAAGGTGGTAAAATAGGAACGACTTTGATCGGAAGATGGTTCACCCCACTAAACGCAACTAGCGATCTTGACAAGGCTGCTTCGAGACGGGCATTCGCTTTCATCGTCGGATGGTATATATGTTCAATTAAATTAATTCTCAGATCACCTATCTATATATAGAAAGTTTTGGTCATAAAAAAACATACTTTCAAAATATATATTGAATTTAGGTTCTTGGATCCGTTGGTGTACGGAGACTATCCAGAGATAATGAAAGAGATGGTTGGAGATAGACTGCCAAGATTCACACCTGCACAATCGGATTTAGTTAGAGGATCACTTGATTTCCTAGGGTTGAACTATTACGTTACACAATATGCGACCGACGCACCTCTTCCGAAACTGCCTAGTGCCATAACCGATCCAGGAGTTACTCTTGGATGTATGCATGCAAAACTTGTTTGTCGAATTATTTTTATATATTTTAGATGTATATTTTAGCTCATCTCGGTTTTCTATAATTGGTTTCAGATTATCGCAATGGAATTCCTATTGGCGTTCAAGCTCCTAGCTTCGTGTACTATCCTCCAGGATTCCGTATGATTCTAAATCACATCAGAAAAAACTACGGAAACCCACTTATTTACATCACCGAAAATGGTACGTACATTTCATTTTGCACTGCATCCAAATGTATGATTAACCATTTGATACGTATGTTTATTATCGAATCTTGTGTTTTTCAGGAGTTGCTGATTTTGGAAACTTAACGCTTCCGGATGCTCTTGCCGACAACGGACGAATTCAAAATCATTGCAGCCATCTTTCGTGTCTCAAATGCGCAATCGAGTGAGTTATATATATAACTCGCGAACGTTCTATTCTATTTACTTCTTTTTTGAGAATTAATAATGCTAATGTACATGAATATGTATTCTAGCGAGGGATCCAACGTGAAAGGATATTTTGCATGGTCATTGATGGACAATTACGAATTCGGAAATGGTTACACTCTCCGGTTTGGTATGAACTGGGTCAACTTCACTAATCCTATGGATCGAAGAGAAAAGGATTCTGGCAAATGGTTCTCTAGATTCGTCGCAAAATAAAAAGGGCCATGGCGATAGATGTACATGTATCCAACCTCCAAATCTAATAGCTATTGTACGTACGTACTATATGTATTGTATACCATTTAATTAAAGCTTTTATGTGTCGTTGTCAGTGCACGTTGTAATAATTTGACCTTAGTTTTTTGGTCAATATATAAACATATCCAAATTTATATTAAGCTTGTGTTGTTCTTGTTCTTGTTCTATCTACAGTACTCTTGCTAAGTATACCATCTAAGCAAAGTAAAATAATTATGAAAAATTTCAGATTAGAGTTCATTGATTCTCCAAAAATGAAAATGTTGAATCATATATAGAATCATCGGGTGGGTGCTGATTAATTAATACATATTGATAAATGTTGAAACTATTGTATGTGCAAATCAAATCAAGAAACAAAGTGTATACACATATATAGATATAATCTTTAATTGATTGGAGAGGTAAGACCTTGTTGGGAAGAAAGTGAACGTAGTGTCTCCTTGAAGATAACGAAGATAGAGATGGGAGACTCTTCATCGTTCTTTTTGCTTGTAAGGCCTTCAATGCCAGCTCTGCTCTCTCCTTAAGCTTCAACAGTACTATGAAGAAGAGAATTCGGTAACACACGAGGATCGACACGATCGCTGATAAGTCCCACCACTTAGAATGTGTCACTTTAACACTAAATATTTTGAGAAATAAATATAGATATATGAGTAGATAAAATGTAAATAAAAAGCCACATGCATGGAATCTCATTAGGGAAGAACATCCAAGATGTGACTGGGTTAACGCTGGTTCACTCATGCAGCGCCTAAATACTAGTTTTTCACTTGGATTGTGATGCATAATAGGTTAGCAACGGGAGATCGTATGTTGATGCAACTTGTGTCTTATGCCAACACTCACAAGAGACAAAGCAACACCTTCTTTTCATGTCAATACTCGGCGCAAGTATGAGAGAATCTTTGGCCAGACGGATCCTTAATGCTGATTTTTCCACCGGATGGGATGATGTTGATAGGATTGTAAATCTCCCGATGGGTCGTATCCATTAATTCTTTGGCCCTAAGATATGTGTTCCAAGCAATAGTTTATGGTCTTGGCGAGAGAGAAACAGAAGAAGACATGGAGAAGCTAGTAAACCACTTGTGCAGCTTGTAAAAATCATCGACAAGATTGTTCGGAATTGACTAAGCTCAATACGGCCACTAGGGGACCGGGAAGCCTCACACACTGTTTTCCACAAGAGTATAGCTTGTTCGTGTTCTAAATTTTTCAAAACAAACTCTCAAATTATGTAATACTTGATATACAAAAGGCTTTTTGATTGAACAAATTTGACATTCATTTAATAAAAAAATGTAAATAAAAAGAATAAACCTATTTCAAATAGAAGTATGGAAGAAAAAAACTAATTATTTGAAATTATGTGCTTAATTATTATTTTTTGGAAATGAAACTATAGAAAACTGTAAATGAATAAGTGTTATGTTTTTTTCTTTCGAAAGTTTTGCATTGGCATTATCAGTCTTAATTTATTTTATATCAAGTTTGAAATAATTTGTTTTCCTATTATATTATGTTGTTCTTTTTAACAAATTATAAAATATTAAATTATACAAGTGATAATAAAAATAAAAACAAAAAAAAAACCTTTTGTTTGTATGTTAAATGCTTTGCTTCTCATTAAACCTAAAATGTATCAGATTAATATATGACATAAGTTGTTTTATTAGTAATTCTTCGTGTAAATTGAAATTTTTGCATTGATAAGTTAAAAAAATTATTGTTTTTCAAAGTAATAATATATCAAATTCGTAACAGTGTTCCTTAAAATAGGGTTTGCAGTATAATATTCGAAAGTCATATTTTGCTTATGAAAGTAAGGTTGCTGCTGACCATAATGTAAAATATCAAAAATTCATGTAGAGTTATAAGAAGAAAAACTCATGTTTACTTAAAATAGGGTTTGTAATTTAATATTCAAAACATCATATTTTGCTTATGGGAGGAAGGTTGCTGCTGACTATAATGTAAGCTAAAGGAGAAGGGAAACGAAACTTAAATCTCCAAGGAGTTTGGCAAAGATTAAAAATGATTACAAAATGAATAGTACATAAATTTTAAGTTTGATTGAAATAATAAATGGCATATAAATTATAACCAAGGAACATATATTCTCACGCAGGCATGTACAGGTATATATCGTGTGAAGCTATATACGAATTCTACGTAAATATGCGTGAGAATTATGATGACGTACATAAAACTCGAAGTGTCGAACAATTATTCTATTAGGGATAGCTCAGTATTTGATTAAACGTAATTTTTAAATAAGAAAACAAGACAGCGAGGTGGAGAACATGGAGAGGATCAAATAAGTTGAATCAAAATATACGCAAGGAAATGAGTTTACTTCAATCTCCATGCAAGCCCCATGCATGCACGCAAACCCTTCTATATAAAGCCCTCCAAGTTCATCATATAATCATCATCAAATTAAGCTTACACAAGCCATAAAGGAAAGCAAAAACTAAACCATATAGATCTCTCATCCATGGCAATTCCAAAAGCTCTCTACTCTTTAGCCATCCTTGTAATTCTCTTTGCCGTTTCGAGTAGCCAACAGGTCTGCAATCCAGAATGCAAGGCTAAAGAACCTTTCCACTGCAACGATACTCTTACATTCAACCGAAATGGATTCCCAAAGAACTTCATTTTTGGTGCGGCTACTTCTGCATACCAGGTATAGATAACATATATCATAGTGACTTTTGGACATCGATTTCTCTCTGTAATATTTGTCATTAATAAAGAACTCATTCTAAAATTGTCCAATATATGATCGATTTTATTTGTTCTACCAGATTGAAGGTGCAGCACATAGAGCACTTAATGGATGGGACTATTACACACATAGATATCCAGGTCATTTACGTACTGCATGCGTTATTAACACGCACCTCGATCGCATGTATGAATATTAGAATTAAGTACGAGTCATGCTCATATCTTGCTTTGTTTCATACAGAAAAAGTTCCAGATAACAGTTCAGGAGACCTTGCTTGTGATTCGTATAATCTTTATAAGGTGAGAGAAGAAGAGGTTATCAATTAGTGATGATCAACGCATATATATTACATTTTTGAAACCTAATTTAACTTTACAACTTTCATATAACCTCAACAGGAGGACGTCGCGCTACTAAAAAGAATGAAGGTTCAAGCATACCGATTCTCAATAGCATGGTCAAGGGTCTTACCAAGTAAATACAAAAACACATCTCCTTTTGTTCATCAAAAGAATTCGTAAAATATTATACTATGGCTGAACTTTGTAATTACATATACTAATATTAGAGGGAACTGGAAAAGTGGACGAGAATGGTATAGCATACTACAACAATCTCATCAACGAGTTAAAAGCAAATGGTAAATTCCAAATTTAATAATCCGATTTTCATCATTTTGTTATATTTGTGATACAGAGATTTTTACACTTACTTTTACTTGGGATCCACAGGCATAGAACCATATGTGACTATATTTCATTGGGATGTTCCCCAAAACTTTGGAAGACGAATACAAAGGGTTCTTAACCCACGTATAGTGTAAGTCCCTTAACTAATTTTTATTTATTTATTCTAAATTAACTCGGTTTAATTCTTTGGATTTTGGTTATATGTATATTGCATAATCAAACCTATACATGTTTAATATGTATGAAACAGGGACGATTTCAGAAACTACGCGGAGCTTCTATTCCAAAGATTCGGTGACAGAGTCAAATTTTGGATCACTTTGAACCAACCTTTCTCTCTTTCAACCAAAGGTTATGGGGATGGATCGTATCCACCGGGACGGTGCACCGGCTGTGAATTTGGAGGAAATTCCGGAACCGAACCTTATAAAGTTGCACATCATCAACTTCTAGCTCATGCAGAAACTGTAGCTTTATACCGAGCAAAATATCAGGTAAACCAATCATAAATTAGTTTCTTTCGAAAAATCAATTTTTTTTATATACTTTTGTGTTGTATGTTTATAATCCTTTGCAGAAAATATTTTACATTTATACCCCCCACACGAAAAACAAAAAACAAATAAACTAAAACGTTTTGCAGAAATTTCAAGGTGGTAAAATAGGAACGACTTTGATCGGAAGATGGTTCACCCCACTAAACGCAAACTAGCGATCTTGACAAGGCTGCTTCGAGACGGGCATTCGCTTTCATCGTCGGATGGTATATATGTTCAATTAAATTAATTCTCAGATCACCTATCTATATATAGAAAGTTTTGGTCATAAAAAAACATACTTTCAAAATATATATTGAATTTAGGTTCTTGGATCCGTTGGTGTACGGAGACTATCCAGAGATAATTGAAAGAGATGGTTGGAGATAGACTGCCAAGATTCACACCTGCACAATCGGATTTAGTTAGAGGATCACTTGATTTCCTAGGGGTTGAACTATTACGTTACACAATATGCGACCGACGCACCTCTTCCGAAACTGCCTAGTGCCATAACCGATCCAGGAGTTACTCTTGGATGTATGCATGCAAAACTTGTTTGTCGAATTATTTTTATATATTTTAGATGTATATTTTAGCTCATCTCGGTTTTCTATAATTGGTTTCAGATTATCGCAATGGAATTCCTATTGGCGTTCAAGCTCCTAGCTTCGTGTACTATCCTCCAGGATTCCGTATGATTCTAAATCACATCAGAAAAAACTACGGAAACCCACTTATTTACATCACCGAAAATGGTACGTACATTTCATTTTGCACTGCATCCAAATGTATGATTAACCATTTGATACGTATGTTTATTATCGAATCTTGTGTTTTTCAGGAGTTGCTGATTTGGAAACTTTAACGCTTCCGGATGCTCTTGCCGACAACGGACGAATTCAAAATCATTGCAGCCATCTTTCGTGTCTCAAATGCGCAATCGAGTGAGTTATATATATAACTCGCGAACGTTCTATTCTATTTACTTCTTTTTTGAGAATTAATAATGCTAATGTACATGAATATGTATTCTAGCGAGGGATCCAACGTGAAAGGATATTTTGCATGGTCATTGATGGACAATTACGAATTCGGAAATGGTTTACACTCTCCGGTTTGGTATGAACTGGGTCAACTTCACTAATCCTATGGATCGAAGAGAAAAAGGATTCTGGCAAATGGTTCTCTAGATTCGTCGCAAAATAAAAAGGGCCATGGCGATAGATGTACATGTATCCAACCTCCAAATCTAATAGCTATTGTACGTACGTACTATATGTATTGTATACCATTTAATTAAAGCTTTTATGTGTCGTTGTCAGTGCACGTTGTAATAATTTGACCTTAGTTTTTGGTCAATATATAAACATATCCAAATTTATATTAAGCTTGTGTTGTTCTTGTTTCTTGTTCTATCTACAGTACTCTTGCTAAGTATACCATCTAAGCAAAGTAAAATAATTATGAAAAATTTCAGATTAGAGTTCATTGATTCTCCAAAAATGAAAATGTTGAATCATATATAGAATCATCGGGTGGGTGCTGATTAATTAATACATATTGATAAATGTTGAAACTATTGTATGTGCAAATCAAATCAAGAAACAAAGTGTATACACATATATATTATAATCTTTAAATTGATTGGAGAGGTAAGACCTTGTTGGGAAGAAAGTGAACGTAGTGTCTCCTTGAAGATAACGAAGATAGAGATGGGAGACTCTTCATCGTTCTTTTTGCTTGTAAGGCCTTCAATGCCAGCTCTGCTCTCCCTTAAGCTTCAAACAGTACTATGAAGAAGAGAATTCGGTAACACACGAGGATCGACACGATCGCTGATAAGTCCCAACCACTTAGAATGTGTCACTTTAACACTAAATATTTTGAGAAATAAATATAGATATATGAGTAGATAAAATGTAAATAAAAAGCCACATGCATGGAATCTCATTAGGGAAGAACATCCAAGATGTGACTGGGTTTAACGCTGGTTCACTCATGCAGCGCCTAAATACTAGTTTTTCACTTGGATTGTGATGCATAATAGGTTAGCAACGGGAGATCGTATGTTGATGCAACTTGTGTCTTATGCCAACACTCACAAGAGACAAAGCAACACCTTCTTTTCATGTCAATACTCGGCGCAAGTATGAGAGAATCTTTTGGCCAGACGGATCCTTAATGCTGATTTTTCCACCGGATGGGATGATGTTGATAGGATTGTAAATCTCCCGATGGGTCGTATCCATTAATTCTTTGGCCCTAAGATATGTGTTCCAAGCAATAGTTTATGGTCTTGGCGAGAGAGAAACAGAAGAAGACATGGAGAAGCTAGTAAAACCACTTTGTGCAGCTTGTAAAAATCATCGACAAGATTGTTCGGAATTGACTAAGCTCAATACGGCCACTAGGGGGACCGGGAAAGCCTCACACACTGTTTTCCACAAGAGTATATAGCTTGTTCGTGTTTCTAAATTTTTCAAAAACAAAACTCTCAAATTATGTAATACTTGATATACAAAAGGCTTTTTGATTGAACAAATTTGACATTCATTTAATAAAAAAAATGTAAATAAAAAGAATAAACCTATTTTCAAATAGAAGTATGGAAGAAAAAAAACTAATTATTTGAAATTATGTGCTTAATTATTATTTTTTGGAAATGAAACTATAGAAAACTGTAAATGAATAAGTGTTATGTTTTTCTTTCGAAAGTTTTGCATTGGCATTATCAGTCTTAATTTATTTTATATCAAGTTTGAAATAATTTGTTTTCCTATTATATTATGTTGTTCTTTTTAACAAATTATTAAAATATTAAATTATACAAGTGATAATAAAAAATAAAAACAAAAAAAAAAACCTTTTGTTTGTATGTTAAATGCTTTGCTTCTCATTAAACCTAAAATGTATCAGATTAATATATGACATAAGTTGTTTTATTAGTAATTCTTCGTGTAAATTGAAATTTTTTTGCATTGATAAGTTAAAAAAATTATTGTTTTTCAAAGTAATAATATATCAAATTCGTAACAGTGTTCCTTAAAATAGGGTTTGCAGTATAATATTCGAAAGTCATATTTTGCTTATGAAAGTAAAGGTTGCTGCTGACCATAGAATGTAAAATATCAAAAATTCATGTAGAGTTATAAGAAGAAAAAACTCATGTTTACTTAAAAATAGGGTTTGTAATTTAATATTCAAAACATCATATTTTGCTTATGGGAGGAAGGTTGCTGCTGACTATAATGTAAGCTAAAGGAGAAGGGAAAACGAAACTTAAATCTCCAAGGAGTTTGGCAAAGATTAAAAATGATTACAAAATGAATAGTACATAAATTTTAAGTTTGATTGAAATAATAAATGGCATATAAATTATAACCAAAGGAACATATATTCTCACGCAGGCATGTACAGGTATATATCGTGTGAAAGCTATATACGAATTCTACGTAAATATGCGTGAGAATTATGATGACGTACATAAAACTCGAAGTGTCGAACAATTATTCTATTAGGGATAGCTCAGTATTTTGATTAAACGTAATTTTTAAAATAAGAAAACAAGACAGCGAGGTGGAGAACATGGAGAGGATCAAATAAGTTGAATCAAAATATACGCAAGGAAATGAGTTTACTTCAATCTCCATGCAAGCCCCATGCATGCACGCAAAACCCTTCTATATAAAGCCCTCCAAGTTCATCATATAATCATCATCAAATTAAGCTTACACAAGCCATAAAGGAAAGCAAAAAACTAAACCATATAGATCTCTCATCCATGGCAATTCCAAAAGCTCTCTAACTCTTTAGCCATCCTTGTAATTCTCTTTGCCGTTTCGAGTAGGCCAACAGGTCTGCAATCCAGATGCAAGGCTAAAGAACCTTTCCACTGCAAAACGATACTCTTACATTAAACCGAAATGGATTCCCAAAGAACTTCATTTTTGGTGCGGCTACTTCTGCATACCAGGTATAGATAACATATATCATAGTGACTTTTGGAACATCGATTTCTCTCTGTAATATTTGTTCATTAATAAAGAACTCATTCTAAAATTGTCCAATATATGATCGATTTTATTTTTGTTTCTACCAGATTGAAGGTGCAGCACATAGAGCACTTAATGGATGGGACTATTACACACATAGATATCCAGGTCATTTACGTACTGCATGCGTTATTACACACGCACCTCGATCGCATGTATGAATATTAGAATTAAGTACGAGTCATGCTCATATCTTGCTTTGTTTCATACAGAAAAAGTTCCAGATAACAGTTCAGGAGACCTTGCTTGTGATTCGTATAATCTTTATAAGGTGAGAGAAGAAGAGGTTATCAATTAGTGATGATCAACGCATATATATTACATTTTTGAAACCTAATTTAACTTTACAACTTTCATATAACCTCACACAGGAGGACGTCGCGCTACTAAAAAAGAATGAAGGTTCAAGCATACCGATTTCTCAATAGCAGGTCAAGGGTCTTACCAAGTAAATACAAAAAAACACATCTCCTTTTGTTCATCAAAAGAATTCGTAAAATATTATACTATGGCTGAACTTTGTAATTACATATACTAATATTAGAGGGAACTGGAAAGTGGACGAGAATGGTATAGCATACTACAACAATCTCATCACGGAGTTAAAAGCAAATGGTAAATTTCCAAATTTAAATAATCCGATTTCAATCATTTTTGTTATATTTGTGATACAGAGATTTACACTTACTTTACTTGGGATCCACAGGCATAGAACCATATGTGACTATATTTCATTGGGATGTTCCCCAAACTTTGGAAGGACGAATACAAACGGGTCTTAAGCCCACGTATAGGTGTAAGTGTCCCTTAACTAATTTTTATTATTTATTCTAAATTAACTCGGTTTTAATTCTTTGGATTTTTGTATATGTATATTGCATAAATCAAACCTATACATGTTTAATATGTATGAACAGGGACGATTTCAGAAACTACGCGGAGCTTCTATTCAAAGATTCGGTGACAGAGTCAAATTTTGGATCCCTTTGAACCAACCTTTCTCTCTTTCAACCAAAGGTTATGGGGATGGATCGTATCCCACCGGGGACGGTGCACCGGCTGTGAATTGGAGAAATTCCGGAACCGAACCTTATAAAAGTTGCACATCATCAACTTCTAGCTCATGCAGAAACTGTAGCTTTATACCGAGCAAATATCAGGTAAACCAATCATAAATTAGTTTTCTTTCGAAATCAATTTTTTTTTTATATTACTTTTGTGTTGTATGTTTTATAATCCTTTGCAGACAAATATTTTACATTTATACCCACACGAAAAAACACAAAAACAATAAACTAAAACGTTTTGCAGAAATTTCCAAAGGTGGTAAAATAGGAACGACTTGATGTCGGAAGATGGTTCACTGCCCACTAAACGGCAACTAGCGATCTTGACAAGGCTGCTTCGGAGACGGGCATTCGCTTTCAATCTATCGTCGGATGGTATATATGTTCAATTAAATTAATTCTCAGATCACCTATCTCTATATATAGAAAGTTTTGGTCATAAAAAAACATACTTTCAGAAAATATATATTGAATTTAGGTTCTTGGATCCGTTGGTGTAGTAAGGAGACTATCCAGAGATAATATGAAAGAGATGGTTGGAGATAGACTGCCAAGATTCACACCTGCACAATCGGATTTAGTTAGAGGATCACTTGATTTTCCTAGGGGTTGAACTATTACGTTACACAAAGATGCGACCGGGGGGGGGGGACGCACCTCTTCCGAAAAACTGGCTATTGCCCATAACCGATCCAGGAGTTTACTCTTTGGATGTATGCATGCAAAACTGTGTTTGTCGAATTATTTTTATGATATTTTAGATGTATATTTTTAGCTGTCATCTCGGTTTTCTATAATTGGTTTCAGATTATCGCAATGGAATTCCCCTATTGGCGTTCAAGCTGCCTAGCTTCGGTGTACTATCCTCCAGGATTCCGTATGATTCTAAATCACATCAGAAAAAACTACGAAAAACCCACTTATTTACATCACCGAAAATGGTACGTACATTTCATTTTGCACTGCATCCAAATGTATGATTAACCATTTGATACGTATGTTTATTATCGAATCTTGTGTTTTTCAGGAGGTTGCTGATTTTTGGAAACTTAACGCTTCCGGATGCTCTTTTGCCGACAACGGACGAATTCAAAATCATTGCAGCCATCTTTCGTGTCTCAAATGCGCAATCGAGTGAGTTATATATATAACTCGCGAACGTTCTATTCTATTTACTTCTTTTTTGAGAATTAATAATGCTAATGTACATGAATATGTATTCTAGCGAGGGATCCAACGTGAAAGGATATTTTGCATGGTCATTGATGGACAATTACGAATTCGGAAATGGTTACACTCTCCGGTTTGGTATGAACTGGGTCAACTTCACTAATCCTATGGATCGAAGAGAAAAGGATTCTGGGCAAATGTTCTCTAGATTCGTTCCCTCGGCGAAAATAAAAAAGGGCCAATGGCGATAGATGTACTGTATCCAACCTCCAAATCTAATAGCTTATTGTACGTTAACGTACTATAATGTATTGTATACCATTTAATTAAAGCTTTTATGTGTCGTTGTCAGTGCACGTTGTAATAATTTGAACCTAGTTTTTTGGTCAATATATAAACATATCCAAAATTTATATTTAAGCTTGTGTTGGTCTCGTTCGTCCCATTGTCTATCTACAGTAGCTCTTGCTAAGTATACCATCTAAGCAAAGTAAAAATAATTATGAAAAAATTTCAGATTTAGTTTTCATTGATTCTCCAAAAATGAAAAGTTGAATCATATATGAATTGCATCGGGTGGAGTGGCTGATTAATTTAATACATATTGATAAATGTTGAAACTATATGTATGTGGCAAATCAATCAAGAAACAAAAGTGTATACCACATATATAGATATAATCCTTTAATTGATTGGAGAGGTAAGACCTTGTTGGGAAGAAAGTGAACGTAGTTGTTCTCCTTGAAGTATAACGAAGATAGAGATGGGGAGACTCTTCATCGTTCTTTTTGCTTGTAAGGCCTTTCAATGCCAGCTCTGCTCTCTCCTTAAGCTTCAAACAGTACTATGAAGAAGAGAATTTCGGTAAACCACCACGAGGATCGACACGATCGCTGATTAAAGTCCCACCACTTAGAATAGTTGTCACTTTAACACTAAATATGTTTTGAGACAATAAATATAGATTATATGAGTAGATACAAATGTAAATTAAAAAGGCCCCCACCCCAAAATTTGCCATGGAATCGCATTAGGGAAGAAACATCCAAGATGTGACTGGGTTTAAACGCTGGGTTCACGTCATTGCCAGCGCCTAAATACTAGTTTTTCCCACTTGGATTGTGGATGCATAATAGGTTAGCAACCGGGAAGATCGTATGTTGAATGCAACTTGTGTCTTTGATGTTAGCCAACACTCACAAGAGACAAAGCAACACCTTCTTTTCATGTCAATACTCGGCGCAAGTATGAGAGGAATCTTTTTGGGCTCAGACGGATCCTTAATGCTGATTTTTCCACCGGATGGGATGATGTTGATAGGATTGTAAATCTCCCGATGGGTCCGTATCCATTAATTCAAGGTTGGCCCTAAGATATGTGTTTTCCAAAGCAATAGTTTAATGGGTCTTGGCGAGAGAGAAACAGAAGAAAGGACATGGAGAAAGCTAGTAAAACCACTTGTGCAGCTTTAAAAATTCATCGACAAAGATTGGTTCGGGAATTGACTAAGCTCAATACGGCCGACTTAGGGGACCGGGGGAAGGCCTCACACACTGTTTTTTCCACAAGAGTATAGCTTGTTCGTGTTCTAATTTTTTCAAAAACAAACTCTCAAATTATGTAATACTTGATATACAAAAGGCCTTTTTGATTGAACAAATTTGACCATTTTCAATTTAATAAAAAAATGTAAATAAAAAGAATAAACCTATTTCAAATTTAGAAGTAATGGAAGAAAAAAAAAACTAAATTATTTGAAAATTATGTGCTTAATTATTATTTTTTGGAAAATGAAACTATAGAAAACTGTAAATGAATTAAGTGTTTATGTTTTTCTTTCGAAAGTTTTGCATTGGCATTATCAGTCTTAATTTATTTTATAATCAAGTTTGGAAAGTAATTTGTTTTCCCTATTATATTATGTTGTTCTTTTTAACAAAATTATAAAAATAATTAAAATTATTACAAGTGATAATAAAAATACTAAAACAAAAAAAAAAACCTTTGTTTGTATGTTAAATGCTTTGCATTCTCATTAAACCTAAAATGTATCAGATTAATATATGACATAAGTTGTTTTTATTAGTAATTCTTCGTGTAAAAATTGAATTTTTGCATTGATAGTTAAAAAAAATTATTGTTTTTCAAAGTAATAATATATCAAAATTCGTAACAGTGTTCCTTAAAATTGGGTTTGCCAGTATAATAATTCGGAAAGTCATATTTTTGCTTATGAAAAGTTAAGGGTTGCTGCTGACCATAATGTAAAAATATCAAAAATTCCATGTAAGATTATAAGAAGAAAAACTCAGTGTTTTGACCTTAAAAATAGGGTTTGGTAATTTAATATTCCAAAACATTCATATTTTGCTTATGGGGAGGAAGGTTGCTGCTGACTATATTTGTAAGCTAAAGGAGAAGGGAAACGAAAACTTAAAATCTCCAAGGAGTTTTGGCAAAGATTAAAAATGATTTACAAAATGAATAGTACATAAAATTTTAAGTTTTTGATTGAAATAATAAATGGCATATAAATTATAACACCAAGGAACATATATTCTCACGCAGGCCATGTACAAGGTATATATCGTGTGGAAGCTATATTACGAATTTCCTACGTAAATATGTCGTGAGAATTAATGGATGGACGTAACCAAACATCGAAGTGTCGAACAATTATTCTATTTAGGGATAGCTTCAGTATTTGATTAAACGTAATTTTTAATTAAGAAAACAAAGACAGCGCGGTGGAGAACATGGAGCAGGGATCAAATAAGTTGAATCAAAATTATACGCAAGGAAATGAGTTTACTTCAATCTCCATGCAAGCCCCATTGCCATGCCACGCAAACCCTTCTATATAAAGGGCCCTCCAAAGTTTCATCATATAATCATCATCAAAATTAGCTTACACAAGCCATAAAGGCAAAGCCAAAAACTAAACCATATAGATCTCTCATCCATGGCCATATTCCAAAAAGCTCTCTACTCTTTAGCCATCCTTGTAATTCTCTCCTTGCCGTTTCGGAGTAGCCCAACAGGTCTGCAATCCAGAATGCAAGGCTAAAGAACCTTTCCAACTGCAACGATACTCTTACATTCACACCCGAAATGGATTCCCAAAGAACTTTCATTTTTGGTGCGGCTACTTCTGCATACCAGGTATAGATAACATATATCATAGTGACTTTTGGACAAAATCCCCTGGGAAATGTTTCTCCTGTTAATAGTTGTCATTAATAAAGAACTCCATTCTAAAAAATTGTCCAATATATGATCGATTTTATTTGTTCTACACCAAGATTGAAAGGTTGCAGCACATAGAGCACTTAATGGATGGGACCTAATTACACACATATATATCCAGGTCATTTACGTACTGCATGCGTTTATTAACCAACGCACCTCCGATCGCATGTATGAAATAGTAAGAATTAAGTACAGTCCATGCCTCATATCTTGCTTTTGTTCATACAACAGAAAGTTCCCAGATAACAGTTCAGGAGGACCTTGCTTGTAGATTCGTATAATCTTTATAAGGTGAGAGAAGGAAGAGGTTATCACAATAATTAGTGAATGATCAACGCTATATATATTACATTTTGAAAAAACCTAATTTAAACTTTACAACTTTTCATATAAACACTCAACAGGAAGGACGGTCGCGCTACTAAAAAGAAATGAAGGTTCAAGCATACCGATTACTCAAATAGGCATGGTCAAGGGTTCTTACCAAGTAAATGACAAAAACACACTCCTTGTTCCATCCTCCTCAAAAGAATTCGGTATAAATATTATAACTATGGCTGAACTTTGTAATTACATATACTAATATTAGAGGGAACTGGAAAAAGTGGACGAGAATGGTATAGCATACTACAACAATCTCATCAACGAAGTTTTAAAAAAGCAAATGGTAAATTCCATAATTTAATAATCCGATTTTCATCATTTTGTTAATATTTGTGATACAGAGATTTACACTTACTTTACTTTGGGAGTCCACAGGGCATAGAAACCATATGTGACTATTATTTCATTGGGATTGTTTCCCCAAACTTTGGTAAGGACGAATACCAAAGGGTTCTTAGAGCCCACGTTATATGTAAGTCCCTTAACTAATTTTTATTTATTTTTCTAAACTTAACTCGGTTTAATTCTTTGGAATTTTGGTTATATGTATATTGCATAATCAAACCTATACATGTTTAATATGTATGAAACAGGGACGATTTCAGAACTACGCGGAAGCTTCTATTCCAAGATTCGGTGGACAGAAGTTCAAATTTTGGATCACTTTGAAACCAACCTTTCTCTCTTGTCAACCAAAGGTTATGGGGATGGGATCGTATTCCACGCGGGACGGTGCACCGGTCTGTGAATTTGGAGGGAAATTCCCGGAACCGAACCTTATAAAGTTGCACATCATCACCTTCTTAGCTCATGCAGAAAACTGTAGCTTTATACCGAGCAAAATATCAGGTAAACCAATCATAAATTAGTTTCTTTCGAAAATCAATTTTTTTTATATACTTTTGTGTTGTATGTTTATAATCCTTTTGCAGAAAATATTTTGTACATTTTATTACCCACACGGAAAAAACAAAAAAACAAATAAACAACTAAGCACGTTTTGCAGAAAATTTCAAGGTGGTAAAAATAGGAAACGACTTTGATCGGGAAGATGGTTCCACACCCACTAAACGCAACTAGCGATCTTGACCAAGGCTGCTTCGAGACGGGCATTCGCTTTCATCGTCGGATGGTATATATATGTTCATTAAATTAATTCTCAAGATCAACCTATCTATATATAGAAAGTTTTGGTCATAAAAAAAAACATACTTTCAAAATATATATTGACAATTTAAGGTTTGCTTGGATTCCGTTGGTGTACGGAGACTCATCCAGAGATAATGAAAGAAGATGGTTGGAGATAGACTGCCAAAGATTCACACCACTGCACAATCGGATTAGTTAGAGGATCACTTGATTTCCTTAGGGCTTGAAACTATTTACGTTACACAATATGCGACCGACGCCAACCTCTTCCGAAACTGCCTAGTGCCATAAACCGAATTCCAGGAGGTTTTACTCTTGGATGTATGCATGCAAAAACTTGTTTGTCGAAAATTATTTTTATATATTTTAGATGTATATTTTAGCTCATCTCGGTTTTTCTATTTAATTGGTTTCAGATTATCGCATGGCAATTCCTATTGGCCGTTCAAGCTCCTTAGCTTCGTGTTACTATCCTCCAGGATTCCGTATGATTCTAAATCACAATCAGAAAAAAACTACGGAAACCCCACTTATTTTACATCAACCGAAAATGGTGTACGTACATTTCATTTTGCACTTGCATCCAAATGTATGATTAACCATTTGATACTATTTTATTATCCGAAATCTTTGTTGTTTTTCAGGGAGTTGCTGATTTTTGGAAACTTAACGCTTCCGGATGCTCTTGCCGACAACGGACGAATTCAAAATCAATCAATTGGCAGCCATCTTTCGTGTCTCAAATGCGCAATCGAGTGAGTTATATATATAACTCGCGAAACGTTTTCCCCCCCTATTCTATTTACTTCCTTTTTTTGAGAATTAATAATGCTAATGTACATGAATATGATTATACCTAGCGAGGGATCCAAACGTGAAAGGATATTTTGCCTGGTCATTGATGGCCACATAGTTACGATATTCGGAAAATGGTGTACACT